GTGTACAGGGGTCCCGACGTGGCTGAAAGGTTTCTAAAGTGTTTGCAGGAGGAAGAAAAAATTATTAGGAATACACTGTATACAATCGCTCCCATGCGTATGACCCGAGCTGACCGACTAGCTCACGCCTGTAGCACTAATTCTCACGTGTGTGACTCACCACTTAACGGTGATTCGGTGAGAGATCACTGTCACGTAACCGGAGGCGCCGCTCACAGCGCGTGTAACCTCAAGCTTAGAATCAACCCTAAGATAATAAACATCCCCGTTGTCTTTTACAACTTGAGAGGGTACGACTCTCACTTGATCATGCAGGCCATCGCGAAAATCGATGGCGATATAACGTGCATCCCCAACAACATGGAGAGATACATTTCAGCTTAAACAGCCTTAGGTTCATCGACTCGGTTCAGTTCATCCTGTCGTCACTCGACAGTCTGGTCGAGGCCAACGATACCTTCCCTATTACCGATCGATACACAGACGCCGAGACTAGGCCCCTGCTGATGAGGAAGGGTGTGTATCCCTATGAGTACATGAATGGCTGGGCCAAGTTCGCCGAGACCAGACTACCCCTCATTTGAGAATTTTACAGCAATCTGACAGACGCGGAAATATCCCAAGACGATTCCTCACACGCTATTAATGTATGGAATAAACTAGGTTGTAAGAATCTGGGTGACTATCACGACCTGTACTTGAGGACAGATGTACTGCTGTTAGCCGACGTGTTTGAGACGTTTAGGCTGACATGTTCCAAGCAGTATAAACTCGACCCCGCATGGTATTACACCAGCCCAGGTCTGTCGTGGGATGCCTTGCTTAAAAATACCGGAGTTAAGTTGGAATTGCTTACAGATTATGACATGCACCTATTCAATGAGAAAGGCTTGCGAGGCGGGATCTCCATGGCAACCAAACGATACGCGAAAGCAAATAATCAATACGTGAAGGGCTACGACCCGAGCAAGCCAACCAATCACATTCCCTACCTCGACACCAACAACCTGTATGGCTGGGCCATGAGCCAGTATCTACCCACAGGGGGATTCGAATGGGTGTCACATGAGGTCGATGTTATGAACAACGCACCAGATTCGAACAAAGGTTGTATCCTCGAGGTTGACTTGGAATACCCCAAGGCATTACACACATCACACAACAGCTACCCCCTGGCCCCCGAACGTATGAGGGTTAACCCAGACTGGATGTCTGAGTACCAACATAACTTGTTAGGTGGGCGGGTGGCAGACGTTGAAAACCAATCATATTCTCTAAACTCGTACCTAACTTAATGAATAAGACCAAGTACATCGTTCACTATCGCAACCTACAGCTATACCTGTCCTTGGGTATGAGGCTGACCAAAATACACAGGGTGCTCGTGTTCAGCCAGAGCCCCTGAATGGAGCCTTACATCAGAATGAACACAGACCTCCGAAAGTTGGCCACCAGTGACTTTGAGAAAAACCTCTACAAGCTCATGAACAACTCGGTGTTCGGTAAGACTATGGAGAACCCGAGGAAACGAGTGACCTTGAAGCTGGTTCGGTCGAATGAGGAAGACAAGCTCAGGAGACTGATAGCCAGTCCGGCATTCAACCGTAGCAAGATATTCACCGATGACCTAGTTGCCCTACACATGAAGAAAAGCCACATACAATTCATCCGGCCTGTTTACGTAGGGATGAGCATCCTCGATTTATCCAAACACCTGATGTACGAATTTTACTACAACAAGCTTAAGAAACAGTACGACGACAGGTGTGAAGTGCTGTACACTGACATGGATTCCCTGCTGATGGAGATTCGAACCGACGATGTGTACGAGGACATGAAAAAACACCTCGATTTGTACGACACCAACGACTACCCCAAGGACCATGCCATAGACAGTACGGTAAATAAAAAGGTCCTAGGTAAGATGAAGGACGAGTGTGCTGGCACGGCCATAGCCGAGTACATAGGCTTGAGACCTAAGATGTACTCCATCCTGAAGGCCGACAATAGTGAGATCCGGAAGGCTAAGGGTGTTAAGAAGTACGTGGTTAAACAACACATCAAACATGCCAGTTTCAAGGAAGCCCTGTTCAAGACCCGTACCTTTAGACATAAAATGAACACACTTAGAAGTGATGGCCATAGGATATACGGACTGACTATAAACAAGACGTCCCTGTCGCCGATGGACACTAAACGTTGGATAGCTATTGATGGGATAAACACGTACACGTACGGGCATGAGAAAATTGAACAAAGAACATAGATATTATATATGTCACGGAACCAGAGAAAGTTTGAGGCTATTTACTATAGCCCGCGTGGGTACTGGAAAGGAGCTAGCGCTGTAGATAAGCTGGCTAAAATGGCGCGAGTACCCCCGGAGGAGGCCAAAGCGTGGCTTCAAAAACAAACTATGTGGGAGATCTATTTGCTGCCACCACGCTACGTGCCTAGAAGGAAGTTTGGTATTAACATACCTAATAGCGTTCACCAGGCAGACCTACTGTTCCTACCCCACGACAAGAGGTACAAGTATGCCTTAACCGTTGTCGACGTGGCCAGTCGCTACAAGGAAGCCGAACCCTTGACCGCGAAAGATTCTGCCCAGGTAGCCAGAGGATTCGAAAGCATATACATACGCAGTCTGCTGACGTGGGCAACAGAGCTGCAAGTTGACCCTGGGCGGGAGTTCATGGGTGTCGTGTCACAACTGCTAGCCAAACACAATACAAAGGTCAGGCGTGGCACGGCCGGAGCCCATCGCAGCCAAAATAGGACTTTGGCTGAGTGCTTATTCGGACCTAACGTGGTGTCGGCAATCAACCATGAAGTCACCCGTCTCACCGGCAAGAAACCGGCAGACGCTATCAAACTAAAATCAATAGTGGCAGATTCGGCTGCTCCATTGCGTGGGAAGGAGAAACAGATACCAGATAGGGCCCTAGTTAGGTATCTATACCAGCCTGGGGAACACGAGGGTGATAGCCGTAAGCGAGCCACTGACCCAATATGGTCAGTCAAAACTTACAACATAGATAAAGTGGACATCAAAGCAGACGAGCCTAACTTGTACTACTTGAGGGATGGGCCAGGCAGAGGGCTCATTAGACAGGAATTATTGATCAGACCGTACGACACAATGTTACCTCCTGTCAACACGGCATAGTGTCATGTTAACAAAATAATCCCAGTATCACGTGATCAGGAAAGTGCTATCTCAGGATAGACCCGTTAAACCGAGATTGTTCAGCTAAGTCCCCGGTAGCTCAATCGGTTGAGTGGTGCGGCCCATTATGTATAGTTTGCGTGAGCTATACATGTGGGTTCGTATCCCGCCGTTGCCTCAGTGGATTCCTTGCAACTTTGTGTGATGTGAGGTGTTTCGGTAAGGTATCCCTTAGTGGGGCACTCTCATGGCGAGAGAAAGGCAGCCGACGCAACTCCCCTTCGGAAATTGTGGCTGCCGGGGACATTTGACACACTTTTTAGAACCTTTCTCTCTTTCTATAGGGCGGGAAATCAACGGGGGCTCAAAAGTAGTAGATACAATGGTAGCAAGAGCTAAGGGTCCGACCAAAGCCTTATTTGGGAAATAAGGCTTTGCAGAGGCTTTTGTTTGACTTGGTCCAGGACTATCATTGTATCTACTACTAGAGCCAATACAAGCAGACCGAACATTTGGGCTATGTTTGAGATGTAAGTTTTGAAAAAGATACAGTGGAGCAGGTTTCCTAAGAAAATTATACTGTTTCTTCTCGTCCTGCAATATGTGTGTTTATATAGAGGTCAGGAGATCGTGTCATCCTGTGAAAGCACATGTCAGGATGATCCGGCAGAAATGACACATGTCGGTGCCAATACAGTGTGATACAGCTTCCGAATACAATGTGAGAAATACAGTGAGCTGTTTGCTCGTTGCATTGTCATTTTCCATACCACTTTCAACTGTTCACGGCTAGAGCTTTCTTTGAAGGACATTTTCAAAGAAAGACTTCTCATTGTGGTTCAAGAGGAGACTGGAATAACAGTTGTGTATGATTGTGTTATTGTGTTTGTTAGGAGGTTGTTTAACGCCAAACCCAACATTATTCCAGTATGTCGCAACAGTTTCTAATGATATTTTCAGTTATGTTTCCAACACTGAATAGGGTGATGAGGTACAGTACCCAAACTTTTCCAACGCAATCATGGTGGAGCTAATGTCATTGGGCCGTTTTACACGACAATAACTGAACGGTTTTGCCAGCAACACGTTTGGCTGTTATAGTACAGATTAGCCAGCACCAAATTTACGAAGCTATCAGTGTTTGTTTTATTTTGTATTTGTTTATTTTGTTTTGTTTTTGTTTCATTAATGGGGCTGGGGGTTGTGGTGTCTGGACCAGGCAAATCAGTGAAGGGGAAACTGAGTTGTGTAAATATAAATTTAACATACCGGTTTCTGCAAACAAAGCAATGTCGTTTTTATACAAAGAACATTTACAGTAATCATATGTCCAATGCAAAAATATTGAATGGATACAAAGATACGCAACGGGTTTTTTCTTGCTATATATACTGTATATTTGAGGTAATTTGTGTTCATACAAATAAACCAACTAGAATCGTATGCTCATAATAGCGAATCTCAATCAACATAAATACATTTTATCAGTATATGTTAGTCTATAAGATGAATCACTGCACAGCAGGGTAATCCTGAAAAATATACTTACAAATACTTTTTGACATTTATTGCTGAGCTGCTTGTGTGATAGCAGTACGCAAAGGTGGAGTAGTTGTTTGGGAGTTATTCTACCTGGGTTGGTGTCAGGAGATTTGGACATGTGTGACAAAACAAAATGGCTGCGGGGTTGAAACATCCAGCAGAGTGTTAAATTGTATAAGCAATCTACCTTAAATGTCCAAGTTTTCCATAAAAATATTCTCGTCCAAGTAATGTGCTTGAACAATACATTATTTGTGCAAGAATAATTAAAACGAATGATTTTAAACACGATTCTAAAGTTCACACCAATATGCCATATGTCATTTTGACACGTTCCCACTGCATAGAAGGAAGATCATGAAATCTGAAAACTCGAAATAACAATAATACTTGTTTTCAATACCATCAAAATCCCATGTATACTTAAAATGCATTCATACTCTGAGTACGGATAATAGCATCTAGTACTTACCACCAACAGTATTATGTAGAAAACATAGTTAAGAAAAGATTCAGTCCTCACATGTACACATAAATATAATATTTATTAGTGTTTGCATTCTGGTTTAACGTTTGTAAACTAACAGTCCATTAATTCATAATATTTTAATATTTGACTACATCTAGGCTGCGTTTGATGTAAAGGATTTGCTAAAGATGCAATGCAGGAGGCTTCTGAAGGTAATTATACTGTTTCTATAGATGCCAGGCAAACGTGAATCGGATGATCTTGTCAACCTGTGAGATCACATGTCATTCTTGAGTATGGGTTTCAATTCTATGCTGCTTAAAATGTCTAAATGTTATCTGTGCTGAAATTAGAACTAACAGTGAGTTGAGTGAGTTAAGATTTTAAGTCACATCGGCAATATTTCAGCCATATCGTGACTAAAGCAAGTTCTAAATGACTAAAGCAAGTTCTAAAAATATCAACAATTTAAGTGAAATTATAAAATTCTGCCAACGAAGGACAGTAAAATAACTAGATTATCACAGATATATATATAAAACTAGTAACAAAATCTAAAACATTTGAACTATACAAGACAATACAATATAAAAAACAGGCAAATGATCGCCAACAATTGAAGGTAGATCACCATACTAGGGACCATGGGGACTTACAGTACATTTGCTTCCTGCATGGACCCTAGCTGGATTTACACCATCCCTTCAGCCGTTAGCAATTTAGCAAATCTAGCCATACATTAAAAGAACAGTTATTCTACGATTAAAAAACGGAAAGGTGAAATTTACTATGAATGTTTTGGGACTTACGTACCCTCTCAGGAGGACAATAATTTTACAGTACTTTAACCCCCCTCGAGGATACAGCCACAAACAATCAGTGTTATTAATTCAAACTTCCAATCATAAAATATTTAGTTATTTACAAATCTGTTAACAAATTAAATTCTTTAAAAAAAACAATAATTAAATGAGGACATATATTAGTAAAAAGATCCTTCAGAGTTCGGGATTTGAAATAGATATCCCTTGTGATGGAGTACTCAACACAGTCAAGCAAGACATGCTTGACCGTGATTCGTTCATCACAAGGGATACAAAACGGAAGATCTTCACCTTTTAATAAGGTACTCATGCGTATATCTTGTATGACCAATACGACATCGTCGTATGATGACCTCTTCAAATCTGGACTGACAACCCAAGTAAGTGTAACCGATATAGGGTTTTATTGCATGGAATTTCTTAATACGTACCTGGGTGTCCCACTTCTTTTGCATCAGATCACGGATATAAGAGCAGCTTTGTAATCAGAGTATGGGATCAGAAGTGATGTCACAAATTTGTTGAGTGCAGCCTTAGCAGCAATATCAGCCATTGTGTTCCCAGAAATGCCAACATGGCTGGGTAACCAACAAAAGATGATGTCACATTGGCCAGTAGCAAGTTCATTGTACAATTCAATAATTTCTAATAAAAGTGGATGTTTGCAAGAAAGATTTTTAATAGCCTGAAGACACCAAAGAGAATCGGAAAGATGTTATATTGTTTATTTTTTTACGGTGTTTATTAATATATTTAAGAGCTGTTAGTATTGCGTTTGCTTCTGCTGTGAAAATTGAACTGTCATTGGGTAATCTGGAAGACACTGTTTTGGACCCAATGACAGTGGCACAAGCCACCGCGCCACCATCCTTGGACCCATCTATAAATAAGGATTTATAGGTATTGTATTTACTTTTTTAATTGATTATATTCTTGTTTATATTTTAATTCATTAGTTACACATTTCTTAAACTTTGGTCAACTTCAGGCCTCACCAGTTGCCAAGGAGGAGAAGAAAGAAGGCGGGAAGGAGCTATATTTTCCAGCTCAATGCCGGCAGCAGATATGAAAGGTTTAATTCTTAAACCAAGAGGCGGAACAAGAGAAGACTTTGTGCTGTACAAATCCTCATAAAGAGGATTGAAGATACACTTATATGCAGGGTTAGACTTATTTGAATATAGTTTAGTGAGATACTGTAAAGATAATTTGATATGCCTTTCCTTAAGAGATGGTTCATCAGCCTCCACGTAGAGACTGTCAACAGGAGAAGTTCTGAAAGACCAAAGACAAAGTCTTAGACTTTAGTGGTGGACAGAATCTAATAGTTTTAGGTTGCTTTTACAAGCTCCACCATATATGATGGAACCGTAATCTAGTTTAAAACGGATGAGTGATCTGTATAAGTGTAGGAGGGTAGTTTGGTCCCTTCCCCACTTTGAGTTGGAAACGACTTTTAACAAATCAAGTGCCTTCAGGCTTCTTGCTTTAAGGGATTTAACATGTGGCAGAAAGGTTAAATGTGAGTCGAAAATAATACCATAAAACTTGGCCTCCTTAACACCTTTGATGGGTGTGCCATTTACAGATAGTTCAGGGTCTTTATGTGGTTTATATTTACGGCAGAAATGTATGCAAGTAGTTTTGGATTTAGAAAATTTAAAGCCGTTTTCAAGACACCATTTATTTATTTACTGTAGTTGCCGTTCAATAGTATGCATATTTTTACCACGACAAGAAATATTAAAATCATCCACAAAAAGTGAGCCATCGATGGAATCATTTAAAACTTTGGATAAACTGTTGATCTTTAATACTAAACAGTGTGACAGACAAAATACTGCCTTGTGGGACACCCTGATCCTGATTATAATGGTCAGACAGGGTTGAGCCCACTCGGACTTGAAATTGTCTGTCATTTAAAAATTTGGATATATATTGAGGCAAACGGCCCCGTAGTCCAAAATCATGTAAATCTCTTAAAATACCATATTTCCACGTAGTATCGTATGCTTTTTCTAGATCGGAAAAGATCGACACTGCATGTTGTTTATTAATAATGGCATTTTTAACAAACGATTCCAAACGCACTAAATGATCAATTGTACATCTGTTTTTACGGAAACCACATAGTATATCAGTTATAAGGTAATTGGTTTCCAAGTACCAAACTAATCGATTATTTATCATGCGTTCCATGGTTTTGCAAACGCAGCTAGTGAGTGAAATTGGTCGATAATTGGAAGGATCAGTATTATCACGTCCAGGTTTTGGAATTGGAACAATTATTGCAACACGCCATGAAGAAGGAAATCCACCGGACGACCAGATACTATCAAAGATATGTAAAAGTGTCTCTAAACAGGATTCCGGTAAGTGCTTCAGAAGTTGATAATGTATGTTATTAGCTCCTGCAGCGGTATCGTGAGCTTGGTCAAGAGCTTTATGAAGCTCATGAATAGAAAATAATTCATTTTGTCTTCCCCATTATCCGTGTTGAAATTAATAGGTTTCTTTTCTTGTTGCTGTTGATATTTTTGAAATTTAGGTACATAGTTGGAGGAAGAAGAGTGCTTAGCCAAAGTTTCACCTAGTTTATTTGCAATATCTGAAGTATCTGTTAATAATTCATTTCCATTTTTAAGGTGGTGGATGCCAGTTTTAGAGCCTTTACCTTTGATTTTTTTTGTACCATATTCCATACCTTGGACATGGGTGAACGTGAATTGATGTTGGATACATAGTTTTGCCAAGATTGACCTTTACTTTGTTTAAAAGTACGCCTAGCTTTGTCATTTAAGATCTTAAATTTATTGAGATTATGGACCATAGGATGGCGACGGAAATAGTGTTCAGCTTTTTTCCGTGCCTTCCTTGCTTGTTTGCAGTTGTCATCAAACCATGGTTTCCGTGTGTGAACAACAGCAGAGGACTTAGGAATACATTCATCAGCAATTATATTGAGTTCATCAGAGAAACATTTTACGGGATCAAGAGTGCCAATGAAAAATTGAGGTTTCAATTTGCTAGTGCAAAGCGTTTCAAATAAAAGCCAATCAGCCTTTTTAAAATTCCATCGTGATGACGGAAGAACGGCAGATGGGGACACAGGTTTCAAAATAGTCTGAAAGTGGTCACTTCCACAGAGGCCCTCGTGGACTGACCATGTGAATTCATTCAACAAATTTGAATCTGCAAGAGATAGGTCTAGTGACGAAGAAGTACCTGAAGCAGGATGTAGGTAAGTTTCTGAGTCATCATTAAAGATGCACAGGTCACTATTAGATATAAAATCCTCCATCACTTTTCCTTTTTGATTAATGTGTGGACTTCCCCATAAAGGATTGTGCCCATTTAGATCCTCCATGATGATACATGGTTTTGGGAGCTGGTCGTATAGCTTTTGAAGCTCATTCTGATGAAGACCCAAAGAAGGAGGAAGATATAAGGAGCAAAGTGTAAATGTAATATGCAAGGTCAGCCGAACTGCCACAGCTTGCAGAGTTGTATTTAGGGGAACAGGACTATGAATGATGCCCTGTCGCACCAAAATAGAAGCGCCCCCAGTAGCCTTATCACCAGGAGGGGAAAATGAATGAAATAAACTGTATTGCCTCAAGTCAAATTTATCTGTGTTTTTTAGATATGTTTCTTGTAAGCATATAGCTGATGGATTTATATCTTGAGTTAATAATTGCAATTCATTAAAATTATGCCTAAGTCCTCTGCATTTCCACTGAAGTAGACTGGAATAGTTCATGTTCGTTCGATAGGAGTCCTTTCACGTGAACGTGAAGAAGTGTTATGTTTGGTAGATAGAGTAACATCCATCTCTAATGGCTCAAAGAAATTGAATTGAAGTTCAACTGATGTTTCAACAGGAGTGGCAATCTTCGTTGTAATTTTTTATGATGTTTTTTCTCTTTTTGGGGGGACATTTCATTTGAAGTTTTCAAAGTAGGTTTCTCAGATGTCGTATTCGCTGGTGTAACAATCTCACGTGGAATCTGAGTTTCAAGAATGATACATTGCTGACTATCTGAACAAGTTGTCCGGCTGTCAGATGTTCTAGTAATAGGCACAGGACTTGTAGAGTTTGTCCACGTCAGGTCTGTCTGGCACCCTATCGATCTGGGGGAAGAAGGTCGAGAAACAGCAGCAACATATGTTTGTATAGATGGAGATGATCTG